TAAGGCAAAGAGTCTAGTTTTTAAATGAAGCACCCAAAGTTACCCATCCCCTCGTGGGTAAAAGTCCATCCATATGGGATCGGCCCAGAACAAGGCCCCAAAGCCTGCCACAAGTCTAAAGCATCTTCCAGTGGGGACCCACAGAAAAGGGTCACAAACAACCGGACAAGTCCGGAAGGAAAAGAGCAAAATCAACATCAAGATAAAAGCTGCCATTGTCACCTCCCCACGGGTCTCACCCACATCCGTGTCACCTAGTCCACGACCAAAAGACAAGCGCAGTTTCTTCACGTGTCTCTAGGCTCCATGCGCCTCCTCCAGGTCTCCTTGCTCCATCCTGTTCCTTCCTCAGTCTCCTCTGCAGCTTCTCCTCTTCCTGCTCAGCTCCACCCTCCCTTGGGTGGGGCAGGGAACCTCCCCCTTTCCTGGGGACCACCCTGTTACAGGCATTCCAGGAAATAGTCATTTGTTAATTCCAGAGTACAGATTTGTTCTCTAGTGAGGCCTAGACTTCATAGAGCAATGGAGTCATAAAAAGGCAAAAGCAAAGGCAAAACTTTAATCAATTTTGCCAGTGCCCACAAATGCATCCTAAAATATAGGTACACACACACAAACACACAGAATCACTTTCCACCTTGGAACCTGTGTCATCGAAAGTCATTCAAAAGTGGTGAGGGGAGAATTCCAGGGGACAAGCAGGATAGCAGCAGTTAGTATCTGACCAACAATGCACTTTTATTTCTAGCTGAACTCTGTGGTAATGAGCTGAGAAAAAAATAGCCAAAGACATCAGGATTCCAGCAAGCCCTAAATCGTCATCTATCTGAGAAACAGTTCCCCTCCTATCACAGGAAGCACAGGTGAGTGGCCTGAAGCTCTGGAATACTGTCCATAACTGCAAAAGTTAGGCTGACCAGGACACTTATTGACACCATTGTTAAATCCCAAAAATGTACTTCTGACTCTTGTGATGAAGAAGCAGCTGGGTAAACAGAGCTCTAACTCAAAATTTCCATGAAATAGAATTACTGCAGGTAAATGAAAAACTTAAGACCAGCGGGCTATACAGAACCATTTATTTCATAATTAGCTAAAATTCAAAGACCATGTAATATTTAATCAAGTCCTATTTCTTAAAACAAAGCTAGAGTAACCCTGTTGAAAGAAAACTAATACATATTCTTAGCGTGGAAGAACGGGATACTGTGCATAGGGAGAAGAAAGGATTAACAGTTTTCCAATAAAACACCCAGAGTTATTTATCTCCTGGAAGGTAAGCGTCCAGTCAAACAGATTTGGCCCAAGGCAGACCACTGAAGCCCAAAAGCTTGCCAGAAGTCTAAGGCACCTTCTGGCAAGGAACCACAGAAAATAGTCATCAGGTGGCAAGCAAGTCTGGAAGAAAAATTGCAAAATAAAGTACAAATCAAGGTAATGGCTGCCATTGTCGGTCTCCACTCCCCACCCCTCTCCCAAGTGTCTCTCCATGTCTCAGATTCCACGGGTCCTTCTGTGTCCCCCAAGTTCACAGTGCAAGTCCAAAGCTGAGAAGCGAGCAGGCCTCCTTCTTCAGGTGTCTCTGCTCCACATGCTTCTTCCAGTCTCCCCTCTGGGGCTCTCCTCTCAGTTGTCTTTAGCTGCTCCTCCCCACTAGCTCTGCCCTTCATTAGGCGAGGCAGGGGACACAGAACCTCCATTTTTACAAAGATCACACTGTAGCAATTCCATTTCTCAGAAAGTGGGGCAGTTGTGGTTTTTTTGACCAACATTAGTTTAGTTTAAGAAAATCAACCAGCAACTGTAAACCAGAGACACACTGGTGGGGGTGGGGTTGTGGGATCAAAACAAGGGGGGTGGGAATTGTATGGGGACTATAACCAAATGAAAATGCACACATTGTGCAAAAATGAAAAATGATGTAAAAAATGTATAAAATAAAAAATAAAAATGAAGACAATTAACACAGCCTTTAAGCATGTTCTCCCAGGTTAAACTGCTGGTATATAGAGTGCAAGACATGAATTTGAATGCTCTGAACACAAGTTCCTCTCTTAGCACCTATCATTTATGATATTTTCTATTTAACACCTTCATTTCCTCAGTCAGTTGCAGAGAAAATGAGATCCCAAATATTTGACAGAGGGCAGGAGGTCTTATTTTTCCTCGGGAGAATAGAAATCGATAAATTAAGAGCCTCTCTTAATGTGCATGATATTTGGGAAAAATCTAACACAGGGCAAGTGATACACCCTGTTGATAAATAAAGGATGTCAAAATGCAAAAGAAAGGAGGCAGCAAGGAAAAGGTGGCAGAATGTTGGAAATAAGCTCAGTGCCTTAGATGCCCCCAAGTGTTGCGAGCCAGCCACAGCAGTCTGGGTGTCAGGGGTTCCTGAAGGATAGGAAGGCGTCGGAGCAATTGTAGAGAAAATGGTAAGGGAAGGGGGAGAGGGAATGAGGAGAAGCAGACACTTGATCAGGGTGCTGACATCATCCTGCTGAGGGTCTCAGCAGCCCTTTATTTATACTAAGCAAATCGTGAGTGCACAAGCATAAGGCAGGAAGATAACAGTCATCACATGTCCTTTTTCAGGAGCCACCAAGGGTCTGTTTGCCTTCAGGCAGAGGTGTAACATTTATTATTCTTTGTCTTAAAGAAGGCACAGTTGCTAACCAAATGTTTTCAAAATAGTTATTTACTTTAAACAATCTAACAGTTATTTTATTACTAGCAAAAAGCCTATGTGTCTGCAACTAACATTTCTAAGTTTGCCATGGTGAAAGATTAACTATGGGCTGAGGGAAACAAAGGGCAGGAAGTTACCTGGGGGCAGGGAGACAAAGATTATTTCTAACTAACCTATAAAGTTTAGACCAACATATAACTAATTGATTAGAGTAAAAAACAGAAGGCTTTTATTTAGAAATTATTATCTATATTGTTTTAGCTGACCAGTCATAAAATTGCTGTTGACTTATTCTTGAATGCACACTCTAACAGCTACCATACCAATTGTCACCTCCAGAGGAATCAGCCCTAAACAAACAGGAAGAATTTAGCAGGAGTTAGCTATGGCACCTCCTGGCTCATCAGGAATTTTCTTACACTTGGAGAATGGATCAAGTCTGCCACCCAACTGCTATCTTTATTTTATTTATTTATTTCTTTTATAGAGGCATGTTTTTTATTTATTTATTTATTATGTTTGTTTGTTTGTTTTGTTTATACATGCACTGGGTACAGTCAGAAGCGCAGGAGGGTGAGAGAATTCACCAGAGCCAGAGTGGGGAGCAGAGCAGGCAGAAGGACTGAAGCACACTGCTGAGGGGAGCAGCGGGCAGCAGGAGAGGTCTGCGCACCATGTGGGATCCTCCTCCGGTGGCTGGGGAGCAGCCGGGGATCGAACCGGCGCCGCAGAGGCCACGGGCAGCTTTGCAACCCAGCGCTCAACCGCTGCGCCACCGGGGAGGCCCCAACTGCTATCTTTAAAGTAAAGGAATTTCCTTCTCCAATTAGTTCTTGCCTCAAAGGACCACATCTCCATATTAAAGACTTGGCCAAGGGATGTTTACAGCCTTTTGTTCCCAGAAGTTTTTTCACTTGTTAATATAAGGCCAAATGTTGACTGCCTTTTGGCAGAGAAAGACTAATTTTATAAAAAATGTAATATTTGTATCATGCAGTGCCATTTGCCATCAAATTAGTTATTCAGTAATTGATCAGTATTTGCAGTTTTACTTTTAAATGCGTATTTTTAGCAATGGTAGAAACTAGCCATAAACAAATGAGGAGAATCTTGGAGTCAGCTAACGAGATTCCTGATTTTTCAGAAATCTGCCCCAAGCCCGGACTTTTGTCAGATGACATGAGTAGCATGGCTCCCAATACCCAAGGCAAAAGACACTCCAGGGAAGTGCATGAGGGCTCAAGAAGGCTCAAGGGCCTGGTTTACAATTCAGAGGATTCAAATATGGACAAATTCTCCCAGGAAAGCCACACTTGGAGTATTCATAGATGCGTGCCCCGTGGTTTGTGGTTGTAAAATGAGACAGTGCCCGCCTCATAGTCAAGGAAAACCCCAAGACGACTGAGAGGGACCGTCATGGTAAGAGACAAGATGTTGGGTTTCTGGGAGTGAGTTTAAAGCAAGATATTCTGACCGATTCTGTAACCCTATAGCCCAAATATAAAATCTAGGCTGTAATCCAGTATAAGTATTTTGTTTATTGCGGGGTTTACTTACATTTGTTTGACAATGGTTTTCCTCACACACCCCCAGGATCCAGGAACTTTTTTTGGATACATCTACCTCCCAGTAATGTTTCCCATTCTTGAAAAATGGTGATCCCAAGATAGAATAATCTTCATAATCGTAATTTTGATATTTTGTAATGACAGAATAATCTTCATAACTGTAATTCAGATTTTTTTAAACTGAATAATTTTCCGACAAAGATTTTGCTTCTCTCTTATTTGCAGAAATCTCAACACTGTGTTTATAGGTGATCTGATTCAAGATGACATCAACTGCAGAAAAATTAAAGTTTTGGGTGAGGGACATGAAGTGTCTTTATACATTGCATTGTGAGGAGAATCATGAGAATAACTTAGCAGGAAATGGAAGGAATTTTGATTTTAGGCAGTCTGCATGTGTATTAGAATGAGAAACAGTAGTTTTGAAATATGAACTCTACTATAAATCAAAAAATTCAGAAAGATGAAGTAAATAGAATGGAGAAGTTCGATGACACGAAGATTTATCCTTACCCCAGTAGCATCGCACACTTGCCAGGTCTGAAATGATTAAAAAAAAAATCTAAACTGGTAAATCTAAGCAAAGGACACAGCACTGAACTCTGTCTCCTCTCCAGATTAAGAGAAGTTCCTGAAACTATGGCAGGGAGTAAAGTAGTAAATAAGGGTAGTGCTGAGTCCTGGCCGATCCCCACTCAACATGACATTTCCTCAGCCACGGTCTCCAGTGCCCTCAGCATCACTGGCCACGCCTAAAAGCTGTGGTTCTTCCTCACTTGATCCCTGCCATTGCTACACCCCCTAGTCACCCACCTGGCTGACCATGCCTCACCAGTAAGCCCTCGCAAAGTATCCCTCTCAGATCCGGAGCTTGGTACACACGTCTTGGTTCTTCAGGAAAAGTTTTTGGCTTCTTCAGAGGGAAAAACCAACACCTAAAATGAGAAAAATAGATACACACACCTCTAACATGTTGTCCTGTCGAAACTACTGGCTTCTTATCTCTTCACTCCAAGCAATGCACTTGAACTCTTATCTGGAAACTATGAGAAAAAAAGAGTAAATGCTGACCTCAGAGTCAGAAAAAAATGGGCTGATGTCTACCTCTCTGCGACTCTGGGAAGGTCTTGACTTCTCAAGAGCAGGTTCTTCCCTACAAAGTTAAATCATTAATTTGTCTCCCTCTACTTACTATAAACCATATGAAATTATGTGTAATAACAGATGTGACATAATAAAACTTTATTACCTTAAAAAAAAAAAGGGTGGAAAAGTCACCACATGCATTTGGGATCTAGAGAGAAAAACAGAAAGGAAGGCTCCAGAAACTGGCTCCTGGGTGTCTGAACTACATCAAGTTTGGGAACACTCCCTGGAGACAACCAAGATTTCAAACTCTACACCCCACTAGGGAGGCCCTCAGAATAACATTTAAGACTCAGGCTCTCTGAGAACAATTTCAAACACTTGGAATAGAATACATGATGATCTCCAGCCGAACAGTGGTCTGGATTTTATGTGTTTCAGAAAGAGGTCTGCTGCAGGAGGCCTTGTAGCCCCAGCCAGATAAACTACTGGCAAGCAGCGAAGCTCAAAGGGCCTCACACCGTGGGGCTGAAGTTAAAGGGCCTCACACCATGGGGCTGAAGATCTAACATCCCTTCACTTTTTGTTCTTGGTCATAAAAGGAGAAAAATTTCCCAAAAAATACATTAGGCGCTACATTATATGCATCAGTATACAGTAAATAAACAGCACGGAAAATTATCTCTTAAAAACTAATTATTAAACAATTTGGCCCACTTGACAATGGGAGACAAGTTATTGAACATGCCTGACAAGCATTACAATACCACTATTATTCTAAGTCCTTCTTTTGCCTTCCCTTGAAGTTTCTTGGGAAAGTTCTTAAATGAAGCTATTTGCGTTAAGGAGTTTCTAGGTAGAGGAAGTTCTGATAGCTGAGTAGCAGCCGGCCCCTGGTGTGAAGGCCATGAGAATAAGAAAAGTTCTTTCTTTGCTTAGGCTTTAGCTGATGGGGATGTTCCAGGGGCTATTAATTGTCTTAAGTTATTGTTTAGCTGAAACAATGAATTTTAGTGTAAGACTTAGTTTTTTATTAACCTTGAAGGTTGCCTTCTTGCTGAGAGCACGGAAAAAGAGTTGCACTAATTGTTTCTGCTTTGTTTTTATGCACTTGATAATGTAATCTCAATGCTTGCAAAAAATGTATAAATAAAGAACCTGCTGAGCCTTTTGGCAGAAGATAATAACACCTCACCAAGTGTCAGTGTCTCCTCATTCCCTTCCCCTCAGTCCCTAAGTTTCAGATCATTCGTTTTCGCAGAGGCCATCTCATCCTTTCAGGAACCCCTGACAGGACATTTTGCGGGAGGCTGGTCCCCGGCAGAGGTTGATGCTGCCAGGCAGGCATAAATTTAAAGTAAGATGCTGCCTCTTGATACTTGGGGCCAGAGTGTGTGAGGAGATGAATCACTTTCTGACAGCAGGGCCCAAATATCCCATGAGATAGTCGATGAACTATAGATATAACAGTATTGTTGCTAATTCTGGGTGCTTGGTAGAAAAAGAAGATCTGGGCTTCCCCGTGTAAAAGTCAAGCACCTATGATATGCAAGAACCCTACATATAAGCACACAGAGTGAATAAAATTTATGAGGTCACAGAGGTCTGACAACACAAAGGCTTGATTTTTTTTTTTTAGTTGTTAACTTTTTCCTTATATAATTGTAGTTCCCATAGTTCTCCCACCCCTGTATCACTTGAGAACCGTCACCATATCCCCTTGTGCTCTTCCCTCCTGTTTTGACCTCAGATGTATGGTCAGCTTGCTAGTTTTGACTTTTTCTCCACCTTTCATTTGGTTTCTTTACATTCCACATTTAGTGAGACCATTGGTATTTATCTTTTTCCTGATGACTGATTTTGGCTAGCATAATCCTTTTCCAGCTCCATCTATATTGCTGCAAATAGTAGTTTGTCTGTTTTGATCGCTGAATAATAGTCCACTGTATAAATCTACCACAACTTTTTGATCCATTCATCTATTTTGGGGTAGATGGTTGTTTGGGTTGTATCCATATCCTGGCTATGGTAAACAGTGCTGCAATAAACATAGGAGTGCAGTTTTCCTTTCAAATTAGTGTTTTTGTGTTCTTTGGATAGATTCCTAGGAGTGGGATATCTGGATCATATGGAGATAAGGTTTTAGTATTATAAGGAAACTCCACACAGCTTACCATAGAGGCTGCACCAGTTTACAATCCCCCCAGCAGTGTAAGTTTGTTCCTTTGTCTCCACATCCTGTCCAGCCTTTGCTGTTTCCTTTTTTTTTTTTTTTTTTTGGTGCGGACATTCACACTAGAGTGCGGTTTTGATTTGGATTTCCCTGGTAACTAGCAATGCTGAACATTTTTTCATATGACTATTGGCCATTTGTCAAATGCTTTATTTTTAAAGCTACTAACTACCCAAACTTGTCAGCTTCCTACCATCCCCATTCCTTTCCATAGTATCTGGTCCATTCTAAACTCATTTTTTATAAACAGGAATTTAAGACAAAAGTATACCCATATTTCCCTGCCCACAATGATGCTTCATTGTTAGTGAACACCAGGTTACTCTAAAAATCATTAAACATCTCTCCACAGCACAGAAAGACCATTGCTGGCCTCCCACACATACCTTTGATTTATGTCAGTGACATCCTAGGCGAAAAAGAAAAAATAAATTAATTAAAAAAAACATGAGTCAAGAAGTAGTAGATTCTCCCCACTTATAAGGCCTCATCACATCTCCTCGGCCCCCAGATTAGGTGGGATAGAGTTGGTCCCATTGTCAGAGACAAATGCAAAGACAAGACCTAGGCCAGACATTCCAGAACTCATGTGATGCTGTCAGGTTTCCCAAGAGGTAGAAACAGTTTGGACTCTTGTGGAAGTCAAGTATGTATCTGGAGATGAGACATACTTGTAAGGAAAACTAGAAACCCATAATTTTATTCCCTAAACGCAGACTCCCTCTGAGATGTTTGAATAATTAATGGGTCTTTCAGGTTTTCAGCAGAAATGGAATGTGTATGCTACCATTTGTCAAGCATTATGCCAGGCTTAGGAAATTTAAAAAATTATAATATTCTTCAAGAAGTTTGCATGACTTTTTATGAGGTGCACACAGACACAATTAATGTAGGTGCTTGTCCTGTCTCTCTCTCCTCACGTTAAACTCTCTCTACAAGCGACTTCATCCATTCTCTTGGATTTTGCACACACATATGTGCAGTCAATTGACTATTTTTACTCAATTTTTTCTCTAAACTGCAGATTAATATATTCATTAGAAAAGTAACAGAAAACAGTAACTTAGAATGTCTCATCTGTAACTTCGCAAGTTGTTAAATCAATGCAATTGATTTAAAAAAGCACACACACACATTCCAAGGGTAAACAGGAAAAAAAATTGCAAAAGCAGTGGAAAATAAGTTGGATTGCACGAAAATAAAAACAAAACAATAATAATATATGGAATACAATTAAAGCAATACATTTATATTAATAAACACTAAACCAGAAAAGATGTTTTCTAAATTTCCATTTTAAGAAACTAGAAAAGGAACAGTAAGCTAACCACGTACAACACACACACAATAATTATGTAGAAAACAAAAACAAATGATTGAACATAAAAGAAATCAATGAAATATAAAAGTTTGTTCTATAAAAATGTCAATAAAATCGACTAGAGATAAACTAAGAAAAAAGGGAAAAAGCAAATCACCACAATTAAAAATAAAAGAGGGTGGAAGAGAGCCCAGCATTCTAGTGATTTTTTTTTAAATTTAAAAAAAAAAAAGATTTATTTATTTATTTATTTATTTATTTATACAAGCACTGGGTACAGTCAGAAGTGCCGGAGGGTGAGAGAATTCACCAGAGCCAGAGCGGCGAGCAGAACAGGCAGAAGGACCAAAATACACTGCTGAGGGGAGCAGTGGGCGGCAAGAGACATCTGCGCACCATGTGGGATCCTCACCCAGGGGCCGGGGATCAAACTGGCGCTGCAGAGGCTGCAGGCAGCTTCGCAAGTCTGCGTTCAACCACTGCGCCACCAAGGAGGCCCAGATTTTTTTTTAATTATGGGGACTGCAGAGAATTTCAATCTGCAATTTCTCTCTCTCCCTCCTTCTTTCCTTCTCATATTATCCTTTAAACATCTTTCTTTATTTTTGCACAATATAGATCTCTCTCCTCAGGTGTGGTCACCTTAGTTTTCCAACCACCAAAGTGCCCGAGCCTTCCACCCTCCCCACATGGGGATACCTCCCCCAGCCCTTCTCTACCCTGACCCCCAACTCCAATACCACTCCCACACACACACACACTCAAGGTCTTGGAAGGACTGCCTCGACTTTCTGAAGGAACACAGCCAAGGCAACCTAGGAGAGCTTCAGAGTCCTGCACCTCATGTGCCACCAGGAGAGAACCCAGGAGAGAAACTGGGCCTTGGCATACACTTTAAATATGCAGGAGGGGTGCCAGTCCTGCTTCTGAAGCGTCTACCTCTTTTTTGGGGGGGGCTGGGTGAGGGTGCCTACTTCCTATTGCTACTTTTGTTACTTGGCAACTTTTGCAGCTTAGGGGGCATTTAGCTGCCTCCCTCCTATACCTGCTGTTCTCTTTTGCCTTCCAGCACTTTGGCAAACCATTAAAACCTTTTCAGCACACCATTGGTTGCTTTGCCTTTATGGACCAGGTATCAAGAACCCCTAGAATAGACAACATGGGTTATTCCTCTTTTGAGTTGGAGTCCCTTGAAGCGCCTTGATTTTGCTTGGTATCAAGGGGACATTACAGTGAATATTGTAGGAATTGAAGGGATGATAAAGAATTATTATGAATATCTTCGCATTCTACAAGGCACACAACATAGACAAACTCCTATGAAAACACACACTGCCAAAAACGGATACAAAAATTACTTAAAAAATTAATGCAAGTAAATTATATATATTTAGTTACATACATATATAATTATATACACACATATATGTACCCTTTCACACAAAAAGGGCCAGAATAAGACATCATTTGTGAATTCTACTGAGTAATTAAAAATAAATACCAGGGCCTCCCCGGTGGCAGCAGTTGAGCGTAGGGCTGCGAAGCTGCCCGCAGCCTCTGCAACACCTGTTCGATCCCCGGCTGCTCCCAAGCCTCCGGCAAGGGTCCCACATGGCACGCAGACCTCTCCTGCCGCCCGCTGCTCCCCTCAGCAATGTACTTCGGTCCTTCTGCCTGCTCTGCTCCCCGATCTGGCTCTGGTGAATTCTCTCACCCTCCCGTGCTTCTGACTGTACCCAGTGCTTGTATAAATAAATAAATAAATAAATAAATAAATAAATAAACACTGGATCTATCCCATTTTATTTCAGTATTTACAGTCACGTAAATTCTCCATGTGTACATTATTAAAGGTGGTCTTTTTCTCCTTCTAATCTGTCTGAAGTTAATCTCCTTGCTCATTCAGCCCTAGAACTTAGAGGAGTGGGGAAATCTTCCCCTGTATCAACACCATAGGAAGAAAAGCGATCACAGACCTCTGACTATGGTGACAAGGCAAACAAGAGGAGATTTCCCATCAACTATATATTCTGCTGTTTTAACTGCATCCTGCTCTCCTACCTTCTTCTCCTGGACAATCTCCTCAGTGAGGAAGGTCTGGTGACCACGGTGCTCCTGAGACCGCTCACAAAGCCAGCAAATGATTTTCCCATCCTGCTTACAGAATAGCAGGAGTTTCTCTCCATGGCGCTCACAGAGCTCTTTCTTCTGCTCCCCCTCTGGGCTCATCTTGACTCCTCTGAGCTGCTCCACTATGTTGGCCAGATGCCAATTAGGCCGCAGGTGCCCAGGCTCGTAACTGATTCTGCACACAGGGCAGCTGCTCTTCTCTTCCTGGGTTGCCGTGGACTCCTTGTTGTTTGTAGTGATGCAGGCTCGGCAGAAGCTGTGGCCACAGTCTAGGCTTAGGGGCTCTTTCAAGAGGTCCAGGCAGATGGGGCAGGTCACCTCCTCCTGGATGTTCACTAAGATGTTTGATGCCATAGCTGTTGCCCCTGCTGCTCGCTATCCTGGCTTGTGTCTCTTGCTCACAGATCCCTGTATATTTGAGAAGGCTGTATTGGAACAAATGAGAAAGCCAGGAAACAATTCTAATTGTATAGAAAACAAGGATAGATATGTGGAACTAAGCATAAGTATTCTTAGCCATTGCTTTGTCATTTTGTGTGTAACTGCCATTTTAGAATTTCAGGTCTTGCAGGTCTTGCTGTCCTGGGAAAAGACTGCATTCCAGAGATAGTTTGGACCCTCAATCCACCCTTACTCTCTGGTCACCAATGAGGGTGAACTTGCTGTAATTGGAGCTGCAGGTTGGAGCTGCATCTTGGCCTGGCCAGTCAACTTAGAATGATAGCCTGGCAAAGTTGGAGAACTCATCCTTGTAGCCAATGAGTAACTGCCAGCATAATTTAACCTTATTAAAAGACCCCTGCTTCCTTTGTTCGGGGCTCTCGGTATCTGCCACTGCGTTGGTAGGTGCCTTGAACCCGGACTCGAGTCTGAAATAAACTCCCTTTTGTGTTTGCATCAGCTGTCTTTGGGTTCTTGGAGGCTATGCTCGCCGAGTCTGCTGACCTTGGGCACAACAGATAAAATAAAATATTTAAGAAAAAAAAGGGGAGGGCCTCCCTTGTGATGCCAGCTCAGCACTATGAAGCTATCAGCAGCCACTGCAGCAGAGTTTCATCTCCCGTCCAGGCAGCTACCCACATAGTGCAGACCTCTCCCCTCTCACCCACTGCTCCCCCTCAGCAGTGTATTTCATGAGATCCTCCTGTTCTGCTCCCCAGTCTGTCTTTGGTGAATCCTCTCACCCCTCACCTCTGGTCTGTAGCCCAGAATTCTTGTATGCATGTATAAATAAATCTTTAAAAAAAAAAAAAAATGAAGGAGACAAGGAAGTGCATCCACTTCCTGGACTCCAAGCAACTTGATCCTAAACTCCATCAGGAAAGAATCATCTTGAAGACTAGAGTTAGGCAGAAAAGGAAGACATGTATTATCTAGTTGAATCAGTCATCTGTGGAGTCCGGGAGCCAGCCACCCTTGGCTGAATATCTGGTTTTATGGAATGTGCAGATGGCATTACCCTGGGCCCACAGAGATATTGCTTTATGGTGTGGTGTCATTATTAAAGTTAAAAACTAGCCCCCCACCCCTCATTCAACAGGCAGATTGGGGAGGTTTGACTGAATAAGGTTGTGGGTTGGGCGGCCACAGGAACTGGGCTGTTAAGCTGAGGATCCAGATGCAGAGTCAGGACACACCCAAGACTAGTCACCCAACCAATCAGTAGAGTAGAAAGAGCCTCAGGCCCTCTCATCTGGCCCCCTGCTCCTCTCAGTTGTGTATTTCAATAAATTCTCCTTTTCTGCTCTCTAGTCTGTCTCTGGTGAAGTCTTTCATCCCCCCAGACTCTGGCCCACACCCCAACTCTTCTCTGCAGCGTGTGGATCAGCTTATATTAGTCCCTGTTTTAGGCACAGTAGAAAGCCGGCTCAAGGCTGGGCCGGTGACCCTAACTGCCTACTCGCCCAACTTACTCTGGCCTTCACTTGGTGATGGGTAAAATGTACTTTGCATAATAATGTCATTACAGGGCCCCTGGAACCTGGTCCTTATTTGTAACTTTTCTGTTGCTGAAAGTTGGGGCCCAGACCTGAACATCTGGTTCTTGCCTGAAGCAGGTACTGAATGTTAGCTCCAGTGAAGGTTTCAAGTTTCCTATTGTGAGGACTGAACCCTTCCCCCTGCTTGCTCCTTGTGGCTTGTTTGCATTGGTGGTCTCTCCTTGTTCGAGATAAGGAGAGACCTCCCCCTCTGAACCCTATATAACCTTGTACACATTCCTGAATAAATGAGACTGGCCATGATCCTGGCTTTGTCTCCACTCCTCGCATACCCCTGTCCTATACCAAGCCCCTGCTTCCTCCCCCGGGTACCGTGTTGATCTGCCTGGCTGGTCCAGAGAGCTGAAAACCTAAACAGCTGGAATTCACTTTCCCTTGTCATAGTTTAACAGGGTGGTCCCCAGGAAAGGGGGAGGTTCTAGGTTCCCTGGCCCACCCAAGGGAGTGTAGAGCTGTGCAGGAAGGAGGTGAAGCTGGAGAGGAGACTGGAGGAAGGAAGGAAGCAGGATGGAGCCAGCAGGAGACCTGGAGGAGGCACATGGAGCCAAGAAACATGTGAAGAAATTGAGCTTGTCTTTTGGTCGTGGACTGGGTGACACAGATATGGGTGAGACCCGTGGGGAGGTGACCATGGTGGATTTTGTCTTGATTTTGGTTTTGCTCTTTTCCCTCCAGACTTGTCTGGTGGTTTCCAATCCTTTTCTGTGTGTCCCCACTGGGGACTTTTACTTACGAGGGGATGGGTAAATTTGGATGGACTTTTACTTACGAGGGGATGGGTAAATTTGGGTGCTTGATTTAGAAAGTAGATTCTTTGCCTTTCCTGTATTGTTTCCTAATTGTATTAAAGTTCCTTCCCATTAAAGTCTCATGTTTTGTGCTGATGCTGCGGATGGCAGAACCTATTTACAGCAGGCAGGTTTGTGGGGTCTGGGCTGCCCCTCTCCCTGCCCTGTAACAATAGGAGGGTGTTAAGGTGAGACCAGATAAAGCATCTATGGGTGCTTAAAGGCCCTGAAATCCAAGCTAGAAAACCCAAGGCCAGCCAATACCCTACTTCCCCACTAGCCCAGTCTGGTGATGAGCCTCATAAAGCAGGATCCTTGATGCTCTCAACTAGGGAGTGTGGCTCAGGGTGGCTGCTGCCCGCCCTCTTCTAGTGTGACCACAATAAATGTTCCTCACTTGACTCCAGTTACTGTCTCTTCAAGATTTATGTACAATGGATTGGAGGAAAACAGAAAAAGACCCTTCTGAACGGGTAACAATTTAACACACTTTACTTGCAGCTTCTGTTGCATTGTTAGTGTGGAACCAAGCTTAGCTGAGGTTTCGCCATTTTGTATATCCTCCACCTTGATATGTTAGTCCTTGTCCAGCCGCATTCCGGAGATAGTTTCAGCAGTCACAACCCTCACTCCACTTGGTGACGAAAAAGCAGAACACCCCGGCCGCCAATGAGGGCAGTCCTGTCCATAAATGGGACAGCATCTCTAACCGTCCAATCAGTTTGAAACTGTAACCACGCGCGCCAAAATGCCTTTGTAGTAGCCAGTGAGTAATTGCCAGCTTCTTGCAAAGTTCGCGCCACTCACGACCCTATAAGATACCCCTGCTTCCTCTGTTCGGGGCTCTCGACCTCTGCCGTTGCATTGGTGTGTGTCGAGGGCCCGGTCTCGAGCCCATAATAAACTCCCTTTTGCATTTGCATCAGCTGTCTTTGGATTCTTGGAGGCTATGCTCGCCGAGTCTGCTGATCTTGGGCACAACATTTGGGGGCTCGTCCGGGATCGGCTAGCACAGACCCCAACCACCAAACAGCTGAAGGGAGCCATTAAAGCGCGCAGGTGAGTGGTGAGGTTTTAGTCTGCAGACCTGTAGTATTGAGTACCTGTATTTGTATTTTTTGTGCTCAGTACCTGTAGAATTGTTTGCAAACCTGTAGAAGTACTGAGTACCTGTATTTGTATTTTTTTGTGCTCAGTACCTGTGAAATTGTTTGCAAACCTGTAATTTTGGTAGCCAGACGCTTAAGTGGACGCGCTGGTAGGCGTCTTGGCGTGGACCAGGGGAGACGTCCCCGGACCACCTGAATGGCTATCCCCTGTGGGGCAGCACTGGGGTAGCATTTGTATGGGCTCCGTTTGAAAAATTTGTTTTTGGTTCCTTTAGTGTGTTTGTTATTCTTAAAACTTTGGTGTTTGTCTCTACCCAGGGACCTCTGATTGGTTATCCGTACCCCTGTGGGGCAGCACTGGGGCAGGTTCCCCTTTTGAGAAAGTTCAAAAAAAAAAAAAAACTAATTTTGTTTTGTTCCTGGTGTTTGTTGTCTTTGTTGCGTTTGTGTGTTCGTAACCATGGGTAGGGCAATGCCTACTCCACTGTCTTTGGACACAGTCATGGCAAAAAGTAAAATACTGGGGACTAAAAAGTCACCACAGCTGGCTGGTAAGAAACGCTGCCTCTGATCTCAACAAGCAGCTGCCTGGACATTTTCTCCAGTGTTGAGATCTCTGGTATATTTCTGCTGCCTTCCAGCTGTGGGGAAATTAGTCTGTCCCTTTGTCCACCTTAAAAAAAAAAAAAACAACAAACAAAAAAAAAAAACTGGAGTTTACTAAATTGTAGTTTCTCAGTGTTTTTGCAAATATTGGTAAAAATAACTGTTTCTGAAAATTAGTGCACGTGGCAAAAAAAATTTCAAATAAAAATTAAGAGATCTCTTTATTGTTGCTTTTTGCCTCCGGAGAATTAATTATAAATGGCGCCTATAAAAAAAAAAAATCCTAAATTTTAAAATTGCAATCTAAAATTGTAGTAAACAAAAGCTAATTCAAAATTTAATAGTTTAGAGCATACATGCCTTAAGGTTTAAGTGTTAAAAAAAAAATTGGTGCTTTGCTTTGTTTAAATATGTTTACTTGTGCTGTACGAAAAAAAATAATTAACCTGGCCTATGCTAACAAACTTACTTCTAGGCTTTTATCTAAACTTCTCTTGATAAGATCTTGTTCCAGAAAGACTGATCTACTTGTCTTTTCCCCTTGGAAAAAAACAATATATTCTCCCAGTAAAGGACTAGACTTCCTTGCAAAATTCAAGGTAACATCTAAAGCCATATGGACAAGTTACTGAAAAAATGTATATAGTATTAGGTGTCTATTTTTTTTTTCCTTTTCTTTCTTGCTTTTGTCAATCTATCTGTAACAGGGTGGTCCCCAGGAAAGGGGGAAATTCCTGGTTCCCTGCCCCACCCAAGAGAGGGAGGAAGAAAACAAGATTAAAAAAAAAAAAAAAATCCAGAAGGAGACCTGGAGGAGGCCCATGGAGCCTACAGACACGTGAAGAAACTGCGCTTGCCTTTTGGTTGTGTACTGGGTGACACAGATGTG